ACGTGAGTATTTACGTTTGCATGAATAGTATCCAAAACGGACCTCGTCGAATCGACATGAAAACGGTGATAATCTTACCTGAAAATGGTACAGCTGCACTCCCACGAGCCTCACGAGCTCGAAAGTGTACTTGGTTCCTTCGATCTGTGAAGCTTTGAGTGAGTTGTGTGTGTGTCCGTACGTGTTCGAAGAGAAAAGGAAGGAATGGGAGCACGGGAGAGAGATAGGGAAAGAGACGGGGGAGCTGGGAGAGTGACAGTGTGAGTGTGTGGCCCAACACATGCCAACACCACCCAAAACAACCAATAATGTAACGAAAACAAGCTAGGGGTAAAAGTGTCTTTTCACACGTACGTTTTCGATAATTTTAGGACGGGATGTCACACACTGGCTAGTCCAATTTCAATTTTGTTTTTGTTCTTTTCCATTTGCCCAGCCCACTTTAGAGTTTAGGGCTTAGATGTGCCAACCCGTCCCTAATTCTACGATTTTATAAATTTTAAAAGAATGAATTTATGCCCAATGCCCTAGAGGTGACGGTTTTGACTTTCTTTGACCAACATCTAGAGAAACATTTGACTTATTCACTTAGCGCATTTGTGTAGTACTCGTCGGTACAAATACATAGGAGAAAGCTGTTTGCGAGTCCAGATTATATCGATATTGTTACGGACGTTTGAAGTTGTAAAACTATATATTGTGGGAATTATTTAATTTCCACATGTGGGTTAAAGGTTAAATTAGTTAAGATAAAAGGGACCAATCAAATTTTTAGAGGGAGGAAAAGGAGAACCAATCAGGAAGAGAGGAGGACAGAAAAAAAATAATAAATAAATAAAGAAACCTTGCCGTCAGGCAATGCAACCGCACACCCAATAGCTTTGTTTAGGGCATTGAACAATGTGAGGGACATTGGTGTAAAATGTGAGATTTAACCTTATGTGTTGGTGGTTAAATGTTGGTTATAAATCAATGTGTGAAGAATCAAGAAATTAAAGTAAGGAAACGTAAGTAATGATAGTTAATTAAACTAGTGTTTAGTTGGACTTATCACCGATGATTATCCCCGAAAATAAATAGTTCGGGAGTAGAGCGTTACAGCTTATGCATTTTATGCCATATTATATATATGTATATAATTGAAAATGCTATGACATGGTTGGGTATTAGATTGCATCATGGTATATCCATATGTATATTACCTGCACACAATTATTGTGAATGCTTTGAAGTGCAAAGGTAAACGCAGGACACCCATGTTAGTTCAGGTGAGTTTATGGTATTAGTGGAAGTGATGGAGTTATGGCATGACTACATTTATGTGTTAAGCAACTCCGACATTGTCGTAAAGGTTGCCCATGAGTTGTACATGTTATATTGGGATGCATTGAGAGCTCATAAACCTGCACCTTGGTGTTAGTGCTCCCATCACTGGCCAGGGCACAGTCCTTTACGTGATGTTCACCTCTCGCACCTTACACTCACCTTGGACTCAAGGTAGGTGCATAGGTCTGTCGTACAGATCACTATAGGTGTTCCGACTTGTAGGCGACTCGCGATTATTCGCACAGTCTTCAGGTGATCGTAGCACTTAAGCGTACTTATTTACACCCTAGTCCTGTCGTATAGACCACGAGAAGTGGTTCCGACTCGTGTGCAGGCATGCTTGATGAGTTATAGATTAAGTCGTACAGGTCACTATAGGTGACTCCCAACATATATGCTAACCTTGATTGATGAGATATGGATACGTCGTACATGTCACTATAGGTGACTCCCAACTTATATGCTAGCCTTGATTGATGAGATATGGATAAGTCATACAGGTCACTATAAGTGACTCTAACTTATGTGCTAGCATTGATTGATGAGATATGGATAAGTCGTACAGGTCATGTGAGGTAACTCCGGCTAGCATGTTAATGAGCTATTCGTTCAGTCGTACAGACCACAATAGGTGGATCTGGCTGACATACCATTTCATATTGATTTATTTCACCTGGTTACTTATTCTTGTTGAGATATTTGACACGGCATAACTGTGAGACTGTTATTTTGATTAAACTTTAGAGTTATAGTCACGCCTGTTATTTTATGGGAAATTATACAAGTATTACGACGAGGGGCTACTGCCTTTGGTAATTGAAATTGGTTTGAAAAGTTTTGTTTCACTCACTCACATTTTCTATTTTTGCACCCCTCCAGGTTCTAGCAGCAGAGTTCCGTATCGACGAGGATTCGTGACACTTTTCAGTACAAATGTCTTCTTATGATGGTATAATCATTATCTTACCTTATTGTACTATACCTATGCTCTGTATCACGTGTGAAATAGGTCCAGATCCGCTCACCTCGCACTCATGTACTTAGGCAAATTAGATTTTAATTTATTCACATTTTTATATTATTCACGTTCGTGGCACTTTTCAGTACACTTTATGGCTTCGTCACATTTTTTTTAATTTCTAATTTTTTCCTACATCATTTCTTACATATTTTTCACCATTCCATAGTATCTTACCTCCTTTCATTTCAATTCTTTATATTCCATACTACAACCTTTTGACCCTCGGTTGGAGATGGTTTTTTGTGACAGGGCTAAAACAAGCCCTATGGTCCTTTGTTGGATATGGTAAGAAATATGGTCCTTGTACTGTTCATTAAAATATTAATTTCATGAAGGGCCAGATGGCTAAAATGAGCCATCTGGCCAGTCTTCGGTTGGAGATAGCCTTATAACTCTAGCCAAACTCATCCCTATGTCACTCATCTCCTTTTCACATATATCATTGGTGTGGAGAAATTAGAGGTTTCCTTTTTGAGAACTTTTGAGATTCTATTCCATCATCCAAATTTAAGGGAGTCAAGTAGCAAAAGGTAGCAAAGGAATGGAGGTACTCTTCTAGGTGAATAGCCTTTGCTTACGCAAAGAGGTTTCTACTAAGGAATAACAAATTCATCTCTTTTCTTGTAGAGTTGAGTCTTGATTTACCACTATTAAGCTTTGAATTTCATAGTTAAAGATTTGTTATTTGAGTGCATATGAACCAGCTTTCGTCTTTTAATTATTAAATGCTTTATGTATGTTGCTCAAACGATATTAGATAAACAAATTTTTTCCTTCAAGAATCAAAGGTCATCTTTCTGGCGACGCAAGGAGACCTAAAGATGGATATAGTTGAAGGAAGAAGTTTCAAGAAGAAAGAGTTTGCTGGAATACTTGAATTGGTCTCCAAGTTCGCTCCAAGGTTATCCGTATTACTCACCATCTCTTTTTCCTGTGAAACTGTTTTGGTCACATCAGCCAACTAGGCCCATGAGGTTGAAGAAGGTTTTGTTTTATTAAGCTTTCGTCGTTGCAAATTTTATATTGAAATCCAAACTTAAGTCTTAATTTGACTAAAATATATATATATATATATAATTAATTAAAATTTAAAATAACATACTGTACAATAAACGAACATTATTAATTGATCTTCCAGAGTTGGGAAGGATCCTTATTCGTTTTTGAAAAGCATAAAGTATGTACACCGGTGCACACCCGTACTGTAGAATTTTATTAGATTTTAACTTTTTGGTGCATGGAGAAGGAAAAAGTTGTAGTTTATTTTTTGCCGAAAGAAATTAATTTCCGCTTAATGTTTGGGAAAGGATGTATATATGGCAAACCAAATCTAACCTGACCATCTTCTACCATTTGGCATGAATGTAATGATATCAATATACTTACTTTGCCTCCCCCACTATAAAAGCGTGATCTCACCTTTATGAAAGGAGTGTGTTATTTACACATTTCTTTTTATTTCTTACATCTTTTGTTAATTTCTGTCATTTAATTTTCTTTAATTCATCTAATCTGACAATCAAAAATTAAAAAATGTGTTGGAAGTAAAAAAGGTGTGTGAATCACGCCCTTTACGTGTCAGATTTTAGCATGAAGACAAAGAAAGCGTTACTTGGCCATGATTTTCTTGGGGAAAATATGACTTGATTTTATTTTATATTTCTTGTTTTGCGTCCTCGAGCTTGTCATTGTTGTTAGAGGTGTGATATTCACATTCATCATTATTTTTCACTCATATTTTTAATTTTTGATTATCGATCATATGAATTGAAGAAGATTAAAAAACAGAAATTAATAAAAACTCTGTGGATAGCATACCCCTTATTGTTATTACACTTTAAAAGATTAAAAGTTTCAAAATAAAACACTTTTGAGTTTAATTGATTACCTTTTTGTAGAAAATTAGTTGAGTTTTTTCTTCTCTATAGTTTGGGTTCTCTAGCTTGTACTGATATCAAAGACTTTTGATTGACACAATTATTAATGGCTGACGAATCACCTTTGAACGTAATATGAAAGATTTCAGATTCGATGTTTTGAATTGATGAGTTAGATAAGGTAAAATTCCTATAGCCTCTTCGATCCGAAAAAAGTGGATAACTGTAACTTGCCATCAATTGTTCCTTTTTTTAAGAAAAAAAATAAAAAAAATAACATTTGGACGAGTAATATGAGTAAACATGACATTATAGGAAAGTGTTCGATCATATATGAATTATAATAGTTCAAGGGAACTTGGCTAAATAAAAATACACGAGAATCAGTAGTAGACCAAAAATTCAAGGAAAAATCAACAATATAATGTTTTGCCTATCATGCTCTCTTCACTTAATAATATAGTAAATTGTGATTTAACATTTATCTTTAAGAAGACTAATGCTAAAAACACCCCAAAACTTATGTGTAAATGTAATATTTTGGCATATCTTTTAGTCTCAAATCTTTCGTAGTGTGTTTCAAAGTAATTTGTGATTTTAAAATGACAGAAAGCACTTTTTAGAATTAATCCTAATGAGTGGCCTCCTTTCCAGATGATAACAATCACTAGTTAGGGTCAATACTATAAATGTCTTTACAAAATTACAAGAAGTGATTTTCATACTCTCATTTTCTCCATTACGGTTTTTTTTTATAAAAATAAGAGAATAACAAATAAGTTTTTCAATAGGAGATTTTTTATTAAACTCAACACCAAACAATATTCTCCGGTAGTTGGGTGCCAATGTATCACAAACAAATAAAAGGTACGGCAAATACTGAAAGAAAGATACTCCGACCAACAAACTTGTACAATACATACCTAACTTCATCTTAGCTTGGTGTTCTTCATTGGATAGAAGCTCCTTCCTCGTTTCCGGGCTCGAAAATCATCCATCCTTTGTCACCAAATTAAGACGAGCAATTTTTTATCATCGGATAGGCAGTTCCTAGGATAGTAAACTGTTCCGTTGTGTCCGACCACTGAACCTCCAAAATTAGGATCCAGTGGGCGGAATCACCCTTAATATAACGGGTGCGTACAATAAATTTGTTTAAATTCAAGAGATGTTCCGTAGTTCTAGTACTTGTTTAAATTCACTCACTAAGCTAAGAGGTGCGCCCTGTTGTCCGGATCACTTGTGCCACCATCACCATGAGCAACTTGCTTTTTCTTTTCGAGCAGTTTATTGGCTTTTCTCCACTTGTGGAACTTACCGAACAAGACCTCCATATCTTCAAGGGTTCTGCCTTGTGTTTCCGGGAGCATAGTAAAAAAGAAGATCCAACCAACAATGCCGATGGCCGCATAAAGAAAGAAGGTACCACCCATTGTGATGGCCTTATACAACGTAATGAAGGTCATTGAGAGGATGCCACTCATCAACCTATTCACGGCCACTCCCATACCACACCCTTGAGCCCGCAGCCTCAACGGGAAGATCTCAGAGCTGTAGACCCAGGCAATAGGCCCAATCCCAATTGAGAAGAACCCGACATAGGCTAATACGCAGCACAAGCACAAAACAACTGCCCACGTCATTCTAACCCCTTCGTGTTGATCAACAATGGTAAGGCTTGTACCAAGACACACCAGGGAGCCTACCATACCAGCCATACTCGTTAACAGTAGTGGACGCCGTCCAACCCGATCAAGGAAAAAAGTAGCGACTAAGGTGAAGACAGTTTTGGAAAGTCCAACTCCCACGGTGCAGAGTAGCAATTGGTCTGAGTTGGTGATCCCAGCCTTTTCAAAGACTCTTGGACTGTACAAAACAAGGGCGTCTATACCTGAGGCTTGCTGAAAGAAGTGGAAACCGAGGGCTGCAATTACAATATGACGAACGGTTGGTGTCGGACGAACAAACAATTCCTTCCACACGCCTTCACCGTGGCTGTGACCAGAGACCTGAACGATATCATCATTGCACTCCTCGGGGATTCCAGCAGCTTCTTTGATGTCGGCTAGTCTGAGCATGGACTCTTCTTTGGAGTCTGAGGTTCTGTCCAGGACTTGCTTGGCTTCGCCAAGTCGACCCTGCATGACGAGCCACCGAGGCGACTCAGGCATTGCCAAGACACCGACGGCAAGACCAACAGAGGGAATTGCGCCAACACCGAGCATGAGCCTCCACCCCAAGTCAAGAGGGCAAAAGGAGAAGGCATAGTTGGATAAATACCCCAATACTATGCCAATATTGACAAACACCTATTATAATTCAAACAAATAAAATTAATTGATATATACTTTTCACAAATTTAACAAAAACATAATTTCAAGAGTACCAAGGACCAAATACCAAAAACTTTTAATTTTTTACTATTTATCTACTCTTACAGGGAAACGAATACGAGAAGAGAGACAAACAGATGGTGGTATACATATCGTTAGTTTTAACTCAGTGCACGAGGCTGAAAGAGAAGTAATTTTAACACTACATCAAAGAAATAATTAGGAATGTGAATTCGCACAAACACCACATTCACTATTAGGGGCCATTTTCCACCCAATAAATTTTTATTGACAATTTGCCACCCAAATTCTACTTCATTGCTAATATACCACTCCATCTTTTTTTATTAACTCAAGGGCCACTTTGTCATTTCCGTACAACTAAAAGACCCCAAACACTTAGCACTGTGACTAATATTCTTTTTCACTTGTAGATAAGAGGTCATAGGTTTGATTCTCCCTAAAGACGGATTTGAACCATATTATTGCTAACTTCTTGTAATACTTAACCAATTTTCCACCCCATTATTTGTTCGAAACAAAACAAAAAAGAGTCTAAATTGTTTTTTAAAGAAGTAAAATAATTATTGTAATAAGAAAAGTAGGTCGGAAATTAGCAGAAATGGGGCGGCAAAATACACGTGCCTAACGGTCAAGGTCGTGTTTGACTGTTTGTCCAAACCTATCAAGAAGAAAAGACCCGTGGACCTTACCAACCACCAAAATTAAAATAAATAAATAAATAATCTAAACAATTAATCTATTTTTTTATTTCCTTTCTCATAATACCCTTAAGTTCTAAATCTATTTACCCATCTCAGCAAAATTAAATCCCCTGGTTGATTTTTCTTGCATTCGTGTAATAACAGGTTCTCAGGGATTGATCAAACAATACAAACACAATCAATGGCTATAGAAAAAGAAAATTACAAATCAATCCCAATTAAAGATGGAGAAACGAAAACTGACATGCTATTGCAGCCCTATTTTCTTCATTGGTTTTTTTTTATATTTAGTTTATACAAGCTATAGTCTAAATAATGCAGACTCGGTGACATACAACCTTCTTTTTTAAATCAAACACATTTGAACACAACCACTGATGTGGTAATGTTAGAGACTCCGAAATTCTAAACTTTAAACCATTTTAACACAATCACTTGTGTGATAATGCTAAAGACCAAAATTTTAAACAATATTTGCAAACTAAATAATTTGTCATCAATAAAAAAAACAAACTTTAATTACAGCATAAAGAACGATCAAGTATCAACAGTCACATTATTCGGCTTGCAAATTTTGTTTAAAAAGTTTGGTCTCTCTAATAGTTTCCTTCTTTTTATTTATGCCTCTCATGACTCGTCTTCGAATCAGATGAATGATGGATTTACCATTTAATATTACAGTCTAATAGTATTCTTCTTCACTTGTGATTTTAGGTTCGATTTTCATCAAAAACGAATTTAAACCACCTTGTATGATTTAGCCCAATCTATTTCCAGTAATAATATCATTCCTTAAAATAAAAAAATATAAAAAATGAATGACAGACTCGATGACGCTTTAGCCCAAATAACCTTTTCTAATAGTCAATATCATTGTCTAAAAAATAAAAACATGTGTACATATGTTCATCTAGGATTCAACACCAAACACTAAACACAAAGCGTTTACGTTAAGAAAGGGAAAATTATTCTAACCACTCCAAAGGGCATAATTGGAAGGTTTAGTCAAATATTAAATGGGGCAGCCTAGCTAACCTCTGGGAAAGACGTGAGGAAGCCGCGAGACGACGCCGGAGCGACCTCGGCGCTGTAGACGGGAGCAATCGTGAGGGCGTAGCCGACTCCGATGCCGGCGACAAAGCGGCCGCACATGAGGAAGGTGTAGTTGGTGGAGAGCCCCATGAGAATCGCTCCGACGAAGAAAATCGCTCCGGAGATGACTATGGTGTAGCGGCGGCCGACCCAGTCGGAAGTTTTTCCGGCCATGGCGGACCCAATGAGGGAGTAGATTTCCAGAATACCCAACAGGATCTCGATTTGTGTGTCCGTGACCTTGAGGTCCTTTTCGATGTAGAGTGAAGCTCCGCTCATCACTCCAATATCTGTTAAAATACCAATCAAAATTTATCAAAGTCAATCGAGTTTAACAAATAAAAAACAGAAACTTGTAAGTTGATTAGGCCGATCGAAGTTTGATAAGCAGATTTAGTTACCATAACCCATCAGGATTGAAGTCATGGAGGCCAGAATAGCACAAGCGAGCGCATACTTGTTCCTCTTGGGCCTCTTTGGCGGATCAACTTTGATCGGAGGTGCGGGGAGGGCATTATCTTCGGCCCTCCGGTCGGCGACCGGAGGATTGTCTAGCAAAGGCTCTCTAATCTTGGCGGCTTGGGGGTAATCACAATTTCTACAGTGAGAAGGCGAGGGAGGGAGAGGAGAGGAGAGAGGGATTTTAGTTGGATAAGAGAAAGAGGTAGGAGATAAAGTAGTGGATGCGCGGTGTTTGGTTGTGGGATTAGGGACGCAACGGGATTAAATAGACCCAACAAAAGCAAACATCGGTTTCTTTAAGGGGATTTTTGCTCACCAACCTCGTGGTTACTCGTGATTTATTTATCATTGTTAAATGCGTATACATTTCAAGATTGTATACTAAATAGACATAAAATTTAAAGTTTATATTTTTGAAAAGGATTATTAGTATTTCAAAAATCTCATTCTACACTCCTCATAAATGTCTTTCTCTTTTCTGATATAAAAAATCTAAAATGTAGAATAAAATTTTTTACGTGCTAATAACAATTTTTATATTTTTTTAATATTAATAAATAAGATAACGTATATTATCACCATTCTAGAATAGCAAGAAAAATGCACCCTACTTCATGATAGAGTGGGACCATTCTACTTGATACGATAGGTCCCATTTGTTATTTCCAAAAACGTGTGGAATTGAGGTAAAGATCGTGTGGAACAAAACTTGGGGTGAAGAATCAGCAGCCCTTCTGCTGAGAGCTAATCACGGCTAGACAACTTGAATAAATGTCGTGCTGGGACAAGTTCTGTTGATTAAATCCTAAAAATAATACTTAGGTATTAGCTAGTGAATATTGCCACTTAATATTATAATTTAATAATTTTTTTTTATTACTTGTAATTGAGATGTTTTATATTCGGTTTTGGCTAAAAACGAACTTAAACCACATTTGCAAACTCATTATGAGTGTTAACATACTTTTTTTATTTTCTTAATATAAATAATATCATTTATTTAAGTAAAAAAAATTAGTAAATATTTTATATACTCACTTTTGATTTGATCCGATAAAAATATTATATTTTTCTGTTTTAAAGTTTAAGAAAAATTAAATAACATATTTATTATTTTTAAAGAATAAAGCATGTATACTATCATTGAAAATAAAAAAATAAATATTAACTATTGAGTACTGAAGTATTATTATATGTAATGCAGGCGGCACACAAAATGAAACGGGAGGGGATCAAACTCTGAGAGCCGAAAGTTTGTTTTGTGTGGGCTGTGGACTGCCACGTCAACGTCACCTGAATATTTTCTTGGAAGTTGCTGTAAGAGAAAAGAAATTCGGATCTTTTTATTTTCTTTGGGTCAAGTAGTAAACCAAGTAACTTTCTTCCGTACGAAAAGAAAAAACTATTAATTTGTTTATTCTTGAAATTTGTGGTTCATCCGTCAACGGCAATTATGGTATTTTATATAGGTAAAGAATTGTTATTAGTACTTTAAAAATTTTATTTTACATTTTTTAAAAATATAATTTTTTTTAATTATAAAAAATCTAGAATGTCAAATGAGATTTTTGAAGTGGTATATAGGTAAATTAGTCAAACATAATAAAAATTTTACCATTAAGCCATACATAAATGACATTTTTATTTTGAACTTAACTGATGATATATTTTTATTAATTAGGCAAAGGTGAAGGAAGAAGAAGACGCCTCACCGGCTGTACTCTGCCTCACCGGCCGTCCTCCCCACGTCTTTCTCTGCTGCGGCGTCTTCTTTGCCCATAGGATCTGGGCAATGCCTTGCTCTGCAATCGGCGGTGCTGGCGGTAATGGACGAGTCCACGTTCTTGGCCTCCCTCATGCCGAAGAAAGAAATTGACGTCGATCGATTCATCGGTGCGCATCCCAACTACGACGGTCGCGGCGTCCTCATCACTATCTTCGATAACTTAATCACTTCAATCGCTTAATTTCTGTTTGGGAGAAAAGAAAATGAAGAAAGAAAATTGTAGGAAGGGGAATTGCTCCAATTCTAAACGTATATGTTCTGTTTGATTCCTCTAATATGAAAGAAATGTGTGATTATAGCTGTGATTAAGCGTGATTAAGAAAATTAGGTTATCGAGTATCGGATTGATTTTCTGACCTGAGGAAATTAAGCTGTTGAACTGAAACTTTGAATCCGATTCTGGGGTGGATCCAGCTGCTTCTGGATTACAAGTTACATCTGATGGAAAGCCGAAAGTCATAGATGTTCTTGATTAGTACCTATAATTAAACTAATTTATTTGAGCATTGAATTGGTATTACTAGAACCCCTTGATTTAATCTGATAACTTCTGTTTTTATCAGCACCGGGAATGACAACGGTTGATACTTCCAAGGCAGTCAAGGTCGATAACAACGGTTGTATTCGTGGAGCTTCAGGTTTTTGATCTATTTGTGTGTATGCATGTATGTACTTCTCTTTTTATTATCGTTTAGAATAGAAACAGACACTGTAATGAAATGTCTTAATCCACTAAATTGGAAACAGACATTATGTTGTAGTGTCTGAATCCATAAACTTATTTGAATCTTAATGCACAATCACATAACAGGAAGCAGACACTGCAACAAAGTGTGTGAATCCATAGAACCGAAAACAAACACTGCGTTGCAGTTTCTAAAATTTCTAAATCCACAAACCTATTTGAATCTCAATGCACAATCACAGAACAGAAACAGACACTACAACGAAGTGTCTGAATCCACAAACCTATTTGAATCCGAATGCACAATCACAGAACAGAAAATAAACACTGGATTTCAGTGTCCGAAAAATAAAGATTGAAGGTGGTGGGAGGCGGGAGAGGTTGAAGTAATGGAGGTTGAAGGTGGTGGGAGGTGAGGGAGGTTGAAGTCTGAAGATGGTGGGATGTGCGATTTACAATGAAGGAGATGAAAATGTTCGGTGTTTTAAATGGTAATGGCATCATTTGTAATTTTAATTTGATTGAGGTGTTTTAATATATCTTAAAGTCTCGTTAACCTATTTATAATTTCAGTAAATTTGATTGACCTATTGTTAATATCATAACTTTTGATTGATTTTATACAAATCATCCATTATATATATCACTAATCACTTAAAATGACCTCATTAGCCTTCTCCAATAACAATTTTTCAAAGAGGATTATAAATTCATTAAAATTGGTATAGGATTTTGACGACACTCGTGGCATTAGTTCTACAGACAAATTTTGTGTGAATTTTCGTTACAATTAAAAGTACGTAAAACAAACATGAGCCTCATTTGTTACAGTTTTGTAGTATTCTTCTTTATTCGTAAATGAAAGGTCTTAGATAATTCTTGCTAAAAACAAATAGGGTAAAGTACAAAAAACTACCTCAACTATTGGAGTCACGACAGTTTCATACCTTATCTTTTAAAATTGACAATGTCATACTGCATCTTACGAATTTGTGACAATGTCATACCTTCGTCAATTTTTCTGTTAGTTTTTTTGTTAAGTGCTGACGTGGCAAGAGATAAGGACCACTCACTAATCCAGTTGGATTAAAAAATAATTAAATATATTTTTAATAAATAAATATTAAAAAAATTAAGAATAAAAAAACAAATCAAAAAAAATTCCTAGGGGTGCGGCATCCCCTTTCCCTCACCCACACCAATTTCAATTTTTTTTGTTCTTCTCTTTCCTCCTTATTCTTCTTCATCTTCTTCTTCTTCTTCTCCTGGGCCGAAACAGGATTTGTCACTTTTTTTTTTCCCTTCTTCTTCTTCTTCTTGAGCCGAAACTGAGTATGACTTTTTTTTTTCTTTTTGTTTTTTGTTTTTTTTCTTTTTGTTCTTGGGTTGCAGGTAGAGGGAAAAAGGGACGACGATGAAGATGGGGAGGAGACAGAGACGGTTCTTCTTCTTCTTGGGCTGAAACTGGGTTTGATTTATTTATTTATTTTTTTTTTTTTTATGTTTTTGGGTTACAAGTAGAGGGAAAAGGGGAAGAAGATGAAGATGGGGAGGAGAGATGAGTGCGCGTTGGGTTGGGGGGTGGGGAAGAATTGGGTTGGGTTGGGGCTTTGTTTGTTTTTTTTTTTTTTTTTTTTTTTTTTTCTCCTTCTTCTTCTTCTTCCACAGGAGGGGGTGTTTTAATTTTTTCTTCGTCTTCTTCATTCTTCCTTCTTCTGGGTTGCAGTTTGGGTTTTTTTTTTTTTTTTTTTTTTTTTTTTTTTTTGGTTCTCTCCTCCTCCTCCTCTTCTTCCTCTTTGCCTCCTTCTTCTTCTTCTTCCGTAGACGGGCCGAGAAGGGGGGTTGAGTTGATGGGTTTTCTTCTTCCTCTTCCTCCTTCTCCTTCTTCTTCTCCTTCTTCCTCCTTCTGGTTTTTTTTTTTTTTTTCTTCTTCCTCCTCCTTCTTTTTCTTCAGTTCTTCCTCCTCCTGGGTGAGGGGGGCGAGTGGGGTTGGGTTTTTAAATTTTTTATTTTATTTTTTCCTCCTCTTCTTCCATTCTTCCTCCTTCTCCTGGGGGGGCCCGGTGGGGTTGGGTTTTCAAATTTTTTTTTTTTTTACTTTTATTTATTATTTTAATATTTAAAAAATATTAATTTTTTTTTAGTTTTTAATAATATTTTATTAATTTTTTAATAGAAAGTGGTTCCCATCTCATGCCACGTCAGCACTTAATAGAAAAACTAACAAAAAAATTGACGAAGGTATGACATTGTCACAAATTCGTAAGATGCGGTATGACATTGTCAATTTTAAAAGATGAGGTATGAAACTGTCGTGATCCCAATAGTTTAGATAGTTTTTTGTACTTTACCAAAACAAATATGACTCACATTATTGCTAATCCGCTTAGTGGACTCCCACACTTTTTTATTGTAAATAATATTGTTTGTTCTAAAAAAAAATAATAAATAAAATAATAAAAAAAAAACGTGAGCCCCATTTAAGGAGTAAATAAAGGAATTCGTACATGTTCCCTTTGAATGGATGTCAAAAAAATAGGTTTAGTCAAGTTGTGGCTACAATAGCGAGTTTTATCATTTGTACCAAAGTTGGAATATTCCTCTCAATAATTTTAGGGGCTTTTAGATCTAGATCCAAAAATGTAGAGTGTTTTTAGTAGTAAGTCCAGTTATCAAATTATATGTTTTTATTTCTTTTATACTCATTTTATATTTTCTAAAAATATTAAAAATCAATTAAAAT